GTTGGTAGGTAGAGGGAGAGAGAGAGAGAGAGAGATACAGTAGAGAGGTAGGGAGAGAGGGAGAGAGTAGTTAGGTAGGTAGAGAAAGGGAGAGAGGGAGAGAAATACAGTAGGTAGATAGGGAGAGAGAGAGTGTGTGTGTAGGTAGAGGGATAGAGAGAGAGAAATACAGTAGATAGGTAGGTGTTTCTGCTGGCACAGCACTTGATCAATGTAATTCTCATCAATCAGTTAAAGAGCTTTCTAAAAGGAAAAAAAGTTTTTGCACTCTGCAAACCTCCCCAAAACAGCCCGTTTTTCATGAAAACGGGCCCGGTTTTCTCACCCCAAAAAGGCATGAATAGCCTTGGGGAGGCTTGCAGAGTGCTCCTGGGGGGATGGAGCCCCCACAAATGAGCAAAAAATGGCCCGTTTTTTGTGAAAACGGACCTGTTTTTTGTCAAAAAAGTTGCATGCATAGCCTTATGGAGGCTTATAGAGTGCTGCTGGGGGTAAAATACGGCCCATTTTTTGCTCATTTCTGCCCTCCCCAGGCGCTCTCTGAAAGCCTCCATATATATTTCTTTCCACAGTTGTTAAGTCAACCACTGTGGTTGTTAAATTTGTGACATAGTTCTGGCTTGCCCCATTGACTTTGCTTGTCAGAATGTTGCAAAAGAGGACCCAGGGACACTGCAATGATCGTAAATGTGAAACTGCTGAATTTTGATCACGTGACCATGGGGATGCTGCAAAGGTTGTAACTGGAAAAAATGGCCATAAGTGACTTTTTTCAGTGCCATTGTAACTTTGAACGGTCACTAAATGAACTATTGTAATTTGAGGACTACCTATTTCTACAGTGGTGCTTAACAGTGTATGCATCACTGGTACATTACCCATTATACCTGTCTCTTTGTTCTAAATTGTACATTAACTTCACTGTCAAAGCTGATACCAGACACAGCATAGGAAACTCAATGAAGTAGTGCAAGATTGGAAGATATGGAGAAACCTGGCCAATAGAATTACCAAAAGTCTGTTGAGTCAACTCAATGGATATCATCCTCATCTAGTAACCTTGAAAATAATTCTAGGTTTCAAAGGCATGATTTTACTGCTATAGCTCAACTACTTTAACTATCTTTAGCTAGTTATACTATTATTATAACTATTACTACTATTGTTAGTTCAAGGAGACCTCCAGTCATGGCCATAATCCGTTCCAGGACTTCGGTTGGCACCTGATTTGGTCATGACCGAAAGCAAGATTGACTGCTCTTGCGCGCGCGCGCGCGCGTGCACACACACAAGTACGGCAGGGGAAATAGCTGCTTCTGTGTTTGATCGCCACCCGAGGATATGTCTGTGAACAGAGTGAAACATTTAGTGGATCTTTTTGGTTGGCACTCGATTTGGTCGTGGTCAGAAGCGTTCGTGACCTGAGGTCCCACTGTAGTTGCCATACTCAATTATTTAACTATTGTTAGCTAGTTATATAGTCCCTATATAAAATAATAATTCCAGAGGTTATGGGACACTTATGGGGGAACTTCATAACTTGTAGGATTGTTAGCTTACATAGATACTATCAATCTCTAAAGATAATTATTTCCACTTGTATGAATGTTTTGTATAGTACAAAGCACAGAAGGCACAAAAATGCAGAAAATGCCTCACAGTTGTCCTCTTTGCCTTGTGAAAAATAGATGCTGGTTGACAGCGAATCAAATAAACAGCCAGCACTACTGGCTTAACTTTACTTGTGAATGAACCTATTTTGTTATACCCACTGAAGAAACACTTAACAGAAACATGATTTTTATGAGTTCTTTGGGCTAATTTTACTTGTTCTAGTGTTCTGTGAGCATCTTTTCAAAAGTTGTTCTGAATACAGAGTGCAATTTGATTCCACTGAACTGGATGGTGTTTATGCCATAGGTCAGTGATAGACAGGGTGCCACAGGTTTGCAGCCATATTATCTCCACCTATAGGGAAGGCATTCCTTGTAGAGTAACGCTCAATGAGAGTATTTATTACTCTGAGAAAGCCCTGCCAATCAACCCTTCGAGAGTAGACCAGCCAAATACTTCTCACTGATTCTAACGGGTGGGAAGCACTAATTATCGGCTTAAGCTTTAGCTGGATGTTGTTCTGCAGAACATAATGGAGCATTCCCAAGACCCTGAAATCACAGTAGACATTTCTCCTGGCTGAAATATGGGAGACCAGTGTGAACCAGAGAGCTGTCTGCCAAACAAAAGATAAAATGTTTTCTCACAAAATTAAGACGATTGCCACACAGGCCATTAAAAATAATTACTTGGACTATCTTGCTTGATTTCTTTTCACTGAAAAATGAGACAGTACCATCTGCTCCAAGCATTAATTCTGTAGTGGGGATTATCCTGAGTAAAAAGAGCAACAGAATGCCAATGTCTCTCGCTTCCCAGAGTCCTCTCAAAGTACTTAATGAAAAACAGTAGGATTTTGCTGCATTTAATTGCTGATCTTTGCATGCCTTGTTTCCACTTTGTGTTATGCTACCACACAACTCACAAGGCAACCTAACCCATTGACAATCTCTCTTTTGCTTTTCTGTGTGATCTCATACACATACTGTATATTGTATGCCCTTCTTCCTCTGCAGTTTTTTTTTTTGTGGGGATGGCTGCAAGAAATATTGTCAAATTCTTCCCAAGACTTTTTCCAAACACATAGATGTGTTTTTGTTTTAGAGGATACTGCACTACAACTCTCTGAAATTCAAGCCAGGCCAATTTAAACTATCTTAAAGTTTTTTGTTTTTTTAAAGAAAGACTTGTTTTTTTGAGGTTAAACAACTTTTTAATTCCCCAAATGTCAATCTATCTGCTTCAGAGTTTGGGTCCCCAAATCAGGCAAATTCTTGGAGGGTAGGGCCATCTGCAAGTTTTACAGACTTTGCTTTTGAAAGTTAACTCAGAGTTGACACAGCACCATCATTTAACACTTTATTTCTCCTAAGGTTCTCCGCATGTTTCTGGAGGGCCCAGCACTGGAAAATCTTTATAAAATGTCCACAGTAGAGGCAGTATTCAGCTGGTTCCCTCTGGTTCGGGTGAACCAGTAGCGGTGGCTGTGGTAGGCTCCGCTCACCTGCTATAACATAATGCGCGAATACTGCACACACGCAGAAGCAGCGCATGCACTCATATTTGCAAACCAGTAGAGAAGGTAAGTGAATCCCACTGCTGGTCCACAGCTCAAAGCTAGTAAGATGAAGGGGCTTTGTGTTTTAGGGCGCTCTGATTTTGGTGGTCTCCCATCTTTTGTTCTGGGTGGGTTTGCCCTACACTAGACAGATCCCACGTGCAATTTGAGGGTCCCTCCTGCATTTGCAGCTTCTATTTGAAGAGCAGGTGGCAGCCATGGCCAGGAGGTCTTTTTCACAACTTTGTGTTATGCATCACATACTGTAACTGTTTTGGACTGTGAGGTCTTTTTCATAGTCACCCGTTCCTTAGTCATCTCCTGCTTGGATTACTGGTATGTGCTCTACAACAGGCTGTCCTTGAAGAGTATTCAGAAGGTTGGCCTGGTGCAAATTGTGGCAGCACAGCCAGTTCTGGGTGCCAGTTGATCAGTATATGTGGTACCTCTGCTCTAAGAGCTGTATTGCTATCAGGGTGCTTTTGGGTGCAATTCAAGGTATCTGATTTAGGAGCAAAGCCTTTTCTATCAAAGTGCCCATCCCCAGGAACATCGTTCCCCCAACCTTGTTGGCCTTTCACAAGGTATGGAAAACCTGGTTTTGTCTTCAAGACAGAAGATGGAGTGTGTGAGCAATTTCTTGGTCATAGTTGTGCTAAATCAGTGTTTGCAATTACTGCAGTTTTATGTCATTTCTGCCCATTTTTAATCTCCATTGCTTTTTACTCTGTTTTTATTAGCTACCCGGAGTCGTACATATGAGAAGGGGGGACATATTAAACAAACAAACAAAATAAATAAAAATTGAGACTTAAGTTTGTGGAGAACAGGTCTATCAACAGCTGTAAGTCAGATTAGCTACGAATGGAATGTAACAATACAAGGGAGATATTGTTACTGTTAATTATGATCCCCTTATGAATCAGCATATGAAATCCCAGTGAATTAGATTGTGGTTTCGCATTGCTTGCCTGCCTGCCTGCCTGCCATTGGGAGGATCCAATTCACAATCAAAGATCAGCAGTGCCAGAAATGAGTACGATTCAGGTGAAAAGAGGACATAATGGACAAACAGCAAGTCTTCAAGACAATGGCCTTCTCAATCATGCCCTCTTGTTTTGCCCCCCCCCCAAGTTCACTTTGTATCAACAGGATCTTTATGGTGTTACACAAATACATTTTCCTTCCAGTCATGTCCATGGATTTAATCATTCTTTAAGAAACAGAAGACTTTGGGACAGTGAGTGCTTATGCCCATTGGCAGTTCCTTTTTGTAGAAAAATTAATACTACGGAGGATCAGATCCATTGAGTTAAGCTTCAAAGAGGTTAATGTTTAATTATACCCCTCAAATCGGAGATCTATTTGGGGATCTATTATACCTGGACTGTTGCAAAAAACAACAACAACCCAACAACCCCAAAACAAAACCATGATGATATATTCTTGGAATGAGGAACAGACTCTAAAGGTTGCCCGAACAAACTGTCCTTTGAACAGGTTCCTGTTGGGAGGAAAGGCAAGTCACTTTGCATTTTAGCATGACTGGAAGCTTTCTCACTGCAACTGCTGGGTGGAGAATTAATCAAGACAACCACAACACTGACCTCTCTCTTCTGTCTCGGGGCTCATCTCCTCATCCTTTTCTTCCTCATCACTGCTGGAGCTCTCCTCTTTTCCTTTCATTTGCTCCAACTGATCTAAGTTAACCCGTCCAACCAGCTCAAAATTGCGATTCACCTTTGGGGAAGAAAACAATACAGTGTATTTGCAAAAAGTGCATTGAATGGCTACTCTTTAAAGCAGCTGCTTATTTTTCCTGGGACACTCCTATATAAGGAACACAGAGTCCAAACACTGTATAGTATGGAAACAACAGGTTGAAAAGAGCTGTGATAACACTATGCATGCTTGAAATTCCATAGACCTATACTCTTCTCACTATTCCACAACAGGGAATCTTCTCCGTAGGAACAAAGCAAAGAGTTGAAGATCTGAAAAGTGTCAAGTAACAGAGACAGATGGTTTCTTCTGGCAGGGCTTACATTTGCCCTTATTTGAAGAAAGATGAAAGTGCTGATGAAAGAAAAGACAGAGATAAGAGAAACAAAGCCCTAAGGAACGATCTGCTCCCGAGATACCATTGGCGTAGAGTAGACCCTGTTGGTCTTTAGAAAGGCAATTAAAAAAAGCACTTTCTTTCAGGCTGGAAAAATTGGCATCCCCATCTGGAGCAAGATATGGATGCAAGTTTCTGGTTGCCTATTAATCTCTTAGAAGTTAATTAAAATTGTTTACCTTGTTTTGATTTGGGGCACTACTGTCCGCCATCCAGAGTTGCAATGTTCAAGTTGAGCAGCTTTATAAATTCTATAAACACAAGTGAACCACCACTGATAACTTTCTAGTGGTTGGAGCAGGAAGCAGGCATATCCATTCTGATCTTCCAAGAGGAATGGTGAAAATCTAAAGCCCTGCATAACACCTTAGAGCCGTGATGGCAAACCTGTGACACGCAAAGTCATATTGCCTGCCACGCATGGGCTTGCCTGTTTGTCTTCTGGCTTTCTGGCCCATATGTGTGCACGATAATCAATTGTCCTTTGTGCATGCGGCAGTGCCGAAAACTGGCCTGCGCATGCATGCTGGCCAGTGGATCATCAGGTGTGCATGCGCACTAGAACCCAGAAGTTTGGCTTTTCTGGAGCGCAGCCCTGACAAGCACGCATGCGCTGTTTCCGTGCAAACTTTCCCATGCACAGGGCATGGGAACTAAAGATGGCAGCCTTCAATTGATTCACTGGGTGATTCTGGCAGGAACAGGGGAAAAAAATAAACTGTTTTGACCAGCTTGAGCTAATATATATCATCCTCCTCATTCCACGTATTATTTAATTGAGCAGGATGTATCTTATGTAGTCCTACACCATTATCATTAAGACATCTGATAGAAATAAATATGGTCCTGTGTACAATTAAACTGCAAGGAAGCCTTTCACTGCATGCTTCATAACACAACTCAATTTAAACACTTTGCCAGCCAAACGTTGTGACTCTTTGGGATGAGACACCTGCTAACAAAACATTGGCAGGGCAGCTTGGACAAGGGTGGTGAATACAGAACACCTTCCTAATGTCATGTATCATGTCACCATCTGGAATATTGTGTTTCACTTTGCATCTCAATGAGCACACAATTAAACAAATATGTGCAGAGACCTTTATTACTGTCTGCTGCTTGCAGCGGGATGCCACAGCCCGTCTTCTACCACTCAGAGGCAGAGAGCTTCTGAAAAGAAGAGGCTTCATCTTATCATCTGATGAATTATAGGTAAAGGTTCCCCTCGCACATACATGGTAATCGTTCCCGACTCTAGGGGATGGTGCTCATCTCCGTTTCAAAGTCGAAGAGCCAGCGCTTTCCGAAGATGTCTCCATAGTCATGTGGCTGGCATGACAAAACGCCAAAGGCACACGGAATGCTGTTACCTTCCCACCAAAAGTGGTTCCTATTTTTCTACTTGCATTTTTACGTGCTTTCGAACTGCTAGGTTGGCAGAAGCTGGGACAAGTAATGGGAGCTTACTCCATCACACGGCAGTAGGGATTCAAGCTGCCGAACTGCTGACCTTTCTGATTGACAAGCTCAGCGTCTTAGCCACTGAGCCACCTAGCCCTATGATGAATTATAGGGGGTGAGATTTTATAGGCTGTGCATCTTTTGCCATTTCTACCCCTTAAAAAGAGCCTTTTTAGCTAGAGTTCCTGGAAGCTCATCACCCGAAACCAGATGCAAAGCAATGATGCCGGTAGCTTGTACTGTTAAATGTAAAGAATGAAGTTGACATTCAACACGTTCAGCACTGGAATTTGTTTCTTTATACTAGAAACAAGCATGTGGTCAGGTTTAATGCCAAAATGCATTCCCGGTTTTCCACCCAAGCTCATTTTATCACAGTACCTCCATTTAGAAGGGGAGGGGTTCCCCCCACCTGGAATTGCTGCTGTTAAATGACTGATAATCAGAAAACAGTGATTGATTTTGCCAATCTATTTTCTGCTGTGCACCTGCCATATGCTAACAGCAAGCTTACTGTCCAAATAAAGATCCACTTCCAACGGAGAGTAGATTCAACCATCTTGGTCAACTTAACTG